AGAGCCCGTGCTTGTGCCTGAGGGAGGCTCTGGGATGGTCACTCCACAGGTGGGACTGGAGTGACCACCACTCCTGGCCACCCTGGGCTGCAGGAGAGGCAGGGCTCTGCTAGGCTTCCCAGGCAGCCCTAATGTCTGCCAGCACTACCTGGAAGCACCGTCCACACCCCAGGGCCCCAGGACACTGACCTGGGGCTGGTGTGGCAGAGCCATGGGCCTGAGGCAACATATCAGATACACCTGGGCAGGGCTCCCTGGGACTCTGTGAGGCACAGCCTGTGGGCACATGGTCTTGCCTCTTCTACATGTGGTGCTTTCAAGTGAGAACTGTTAGCTTGTATCTAATTAGCGCTTCTGTACACAGAGGCTCCTGTGGGCACAGAGGACAGAGCAGCAAACAGTCCTGGCCTCTGGAACTTACCTTTCATGAGGGGGGCACATACTCAGTGGACGAGGGCAGTAATTTCAGGTTCTGGGAACAGCTGCAGGAGTGTGGCTGCCATGCGGCAGAGCTACCAGGAGGGGACCCTGGAGGGGTGGCTAGCAGGGGTCTGAGCCCATACGGCAGCATGCACACAGCCCCTGGGGAGAGGGTGGGCATGCTCAAGGGTCCACATTACTGGCCACATGTGAGGAAGTCAGTGGACCTTGGCATGGTGGTTGGATTTCCCGCCGAGAAGGATGGAAGGAAGCAGTCGCTTCTGCTTTGGAAGCTGTCCTGGCCCTGCACAGCACTCGGAAGCTGCTGCCTATGCCCAGGGTGGCCCCTGCTGGACAAGAGGCGGCTGAGGGCGCAGTGGGCAGCCCTGGGAGAACTGTAAACAGCTGGCACCATGCATTTCTCAGGCCCAGTTATCTGCCCAGCTGTGGCCTGCCTGGAACTTGTGGGTACAGGACATACCTCTGGGTCTTTATTCAGAGAGACCCACTGCTCACCAGCCCACGCCAGGCCTGGATGGAGGGAGATGAAGCAGATGTGGCCCCTACCTTGAGGGGCTTAAGAGACAGTTTAATGCCTCAGGGAAGGAAAGAGGCTGCAGCTGGGGCAGGGACCATGGGGCTGGACATGCTGAGGCCAGGCTGTCACAGATGCACGGGAAGGCTCAGGGGACCTGCCCTTTGCCAGGGAGGCAGAAGGAATTGCTCTGGGACTGGGGGCAAGGGGCTGAGGCTGGGACTGCTGTGCCACTGGTCTGGGCGGGCCTGGGACTCTCCAGCCATACACCCACATCTGACAGGCAAGTGAAGCCAAAATAGAAACCAGAACTGAACCCCACTTTGGGTTTTCTTATGATCCCTGTAGGACCTTCAACTCCAGGGCATCAGTTTGGGCTTTCCTTCACAGGGAGGGCTGGTTCCATACCTGTGTGGTGGCAGAGGTCATCAAAAATAGCTCTGGGCTTGTGTTGTTTGATTTCTTTTTCAGCAAAGTGCAGGGTCATCCCAGAAAGTGATGTGTATGTTGATGGCCTTGAACAGTAGCACTGTTTCCTCTGGATGATGAAATTTTAAACTAGTGCTAGGTAACCATGGCCTTGACACCGAGCGCCAGGAGCACAGGGAGGTCTACCACCTGGCCCCTGTGTTCACAAGGCTTTGAGCGCACCCACCCAAAGAAAGGGAATTTGCGAATCTAACGTGGTGCTCAAGCTGGCAAGGAGAAGATGAGGTCTAACGTTCACTGCTGGAGTCCCATCAGAGCAGATCAGGAGTGGGTAGCTGGAGGACCATGGCTCTAGGGAAGGGCAAGGCTGAGGTTTCTGACTAGTGCTCGGGGGCTACAGGAGAAGCAGCCTGCGGGACACCTGTGTGGGGATGACTGGGCTGGCCACCGGAGCCTGGAGGTGGACGCAAACAGACAGGAGCCGGAAATGGGTCAGAAGAAGTCAGAAACATGGGGGTGTGAGTGGGAGCTGGCTGAGGGTGCTCTGGAAGCCCCTGTGGATGAGAACCTCATAGTCGGGGTGCAGGGAAGCAGCATGCCGTCCACACACCTTGGGGAGAGGGGTGAGACTGAGACCCACTTTGGGGCAGCAGCCACCTCTGCTCCAGTGGGCGTGGAATCCAGTGCCCTCAGCATGTTCCCAGTACAGCCTGGGGACCTGAGGGCCCGGCACAGTGGTGTGTGGAGAGGTGCCCTGCACTGCCCTGTTTGGGGTTCAGCCGTGCTCTCTGGACCGGTTCCTCACCACTATGGATGTGCCAGCTGGCTGACAGCTGGGTTCCCCGGGACTCCTGACCTGGCTCAGCTGAGCTCCCAGCCTTTCCCCAGGGGAACACAGGACCCCAAAGAGAAGGTGTGGGCAGCTCCGGGTGCCGGGAGTCCCCTGGACTAGGTCAGGGAAGGCGACAGTGACCCCTGGAGGCAGCTGCTCTGGAGAAGGGGGCTGAGCCATGTGAGTCCCCCACAGGAAGAAGAGGTTCTGATCATCGAGGGCCTCCTCAACATTGCCTGGGGACTGAGGCGGCCCATCCGGCTCCAGATACAGGATGACAGGGAGCGAGTGCAGCTCTCAGCCTCCTGGATGCCCGGACGGCCCAGCTGCCACCCGTGAGTGTTGTCCGGGTGGCCTTGTGACACCCCATCCCCAGCTTACTGTTTGGGGTGTATCCGGGATGGGATTCTCAGCCTTGGGGCAGAGCCCCACTCTGTGTGGGGCACAAACACGGGAGCGTAACCCAGCCTCAGCCTGTGCTGCCCACGTCCTTGTGGCTTTTGCAGCCCCTCCCACAGTGGTCTTCCCATGTGACCACCAAGCCATTCCCCTCCTGGAGGGTGTCCCTGCTCCCATTACCCCCACTTGTGTTCCTCACACTCACACAGGCACCTTGTCCGCAAGGAGCCTGTGGAGCCCATCGCCCAGGCTCCCAGCGCCCTCTGCAAGACAGACAGTTCCCAGCATCTGTTCTGTCTTAAAAGATCATACAAATTGAGCCTCCTCTTGTCCAGAATTTACTTTTATCAATTTTATCAGAATTTAATACCAGATTTACTTTAATGTTGGGAAAATGTTTTTGATCGGAATGAAATGGTTTCCTGTCTTACTGCTTAATGGACATTTGCCGCCACCACCACCCCTGCCCACTGCTGCCAGTTAGGGCAGCTAGCTGCTGAGTTTTGCCTGCAGGGCCTCCAGGGCCCCCTGGTGGCCTCACTCCTCCCTGGCCCCCGAGTGACGGGACTGGTTCCCGTCATGGGCATCCCTCCTGGCAGGTGGAGAACTCCCACCACAAGGCCCAGAGGTAGGCCCCCTTGAGTTTGCCCCTGCCAGACCTGCACTTCCCTGCCCCAGCCAGAGGGAGGCCCGGAGACCCTGCTGGGCATTGGCTGCTGCCTAGGAGGCCCAGGCACTGCATATGTCCCTGTGTGCGCCACACACCACACTCCGGCCACTGAGATCTGCAGGCTCCTCCCCTCTTAGCAGATAGTCCCCTGCCCATCCTTTGCTATTCTTTGAATATCTCACTTTGGCACCACATGGATCGCAGCCTCAGCACTGCCCTGCTTCCCTGTAATGTCCTGTCCGGAGGCAGCCAGCCCCTCTTCCACCTGAGCTGCTTGCCTGCCAGCAGCTTCCTGAATGCCAGGATTGTCTCTCTTCAGAAAGGAGCCACCTCTTCAGGATGACAGAGCCATGGCCCAGGAGCAGGGTGACCAGCCCACAGCCAGGGAAGAGAGTTCCAGGGCCAGCTCAGGTAAGTGCCACCTTATGCTAACCAGGCCCTGTCTTGCTCACCCTGGGAAGAGGTGGCTTGGCTCATGGCTGCCACCCTGGAAGTATAACTGGTGGGGTAGGAGTGCGTATTTGTTTTCAGTGGGAACTCTTGCAAAATACCCTCTCCATTTGAGGCAGTGTTGTGCACTCGCCGAGAAAAGGAAGCAGAGGCATACAGAGGGACTTTGAAGTGGTGTGCCCACCACTGTGGCACACTGCCTCATGGAAGGGGAGAGTGCCGGCGGAGGGCACAGCACCCTGGCTCACAGTCCTTTGGACCACCTCCACATGGTCTGGGACCTGTAACTATGTGTGCCCCCTTTGTGCCCTCCACCATACACTCGGTGAAAGGCACAGTGCAGGGGAGGCCCAGAGATGGAATGGGGTGGCCCAAGACTCTCCCTGGGTGTCCGGAAATAGGCCCAGAGGCTTCTGTCCAAATGCCCTGGAAATACAGATTACCCTACCTGGGGGCACCTGTCCTGTCTACAAAGTGGATGCCCCTGTGTGGGGCCCCAGCATCCGTCGCAGGAACTGCATTCAGGTTGCCATCTGCTGTGGTGCAGCCACCAGGCTTCAGGGAGCGAAGGCCAACACACAGCCTGACCATGGGCCCCAGCAGTTCTCTGTCACCACTTTGCTCCCTTGGGCCTGACCCCCTCCTCTGCTTCTGACTTCAGAGCCCCTAGAGGAGGAAGAGGAGACCCCACAGCTGATGCGGACCAGGAGCGATGCAGCTGGTGTGATCCGGAGGAGGCCCAGGCACTGTGCTCCTGGCGATGCCCAGCGGATCTGGCGACACCGGTTCTCCATCAACGGGCACTTCTACAACCACAAGGTGGTATCCCAGCCAGGCTCCCCCGACTGGGCCCTGAAGCCGAGGCCACAGGGAACCAGCCCCAAAGGCAGGGCAGCTGTGGGCCTCATAGCCAGGCCTGCATTAGTCTGTCCTAGTTTGCCCTGCCCACTGGGTTGAGCTGTGCCCTGGGCACATGTTTCTATGCCCTCAAGAACCTTCACTGTGCCTAATTCCCAGCACTTAGCCTTTGGTCCAAGCATGTATTGTACTGGCCTCAGGAAAAGTCTCCTTCCCCAGAGACATTATTCCCAAAACAAGCCAAACTAGAAGGAGAAGTGGCTGTTCTTCTAAGTAGCATGCAGTTTGTGAGAGGCCCTGGAAGGAGTGTCATGTGACAGGCCTGTCCTGTGGATCTGAATCTAGCTCAAGCAGCTGCCCTTCCTGAGAGGTGGGGACTCAAGGCAGACGGGACAGAGTGGCAAAGGGAGGCCCGGGGCAGCTCATAGGAACCCTTCGGGCTGCTTGGGGACTCCCTGACATGAGGGTGTCTGTCCATCCTGCTGGGATGCAGCAAGGGTTAATGAGTGACAGCAGGTTACCTTTGCTGGCTCTTCCAGTGGGGGAAGCAGGGTGCAGTTAAGCAGAGATTAAGAATGGTTTAGATCAGCCAGTCTGACTTGGGTATTCTTTAAATATTGCTCAAAAGGAGTTTAGCCTGTAAAGTGTTAAGTAGGAACCAGTTGCTAATACTTGAATATATATCAATATGCAACTGTAAGGGATTATTTTTAAATTTTTAAACAATATTTGTGTGGATTTAGGCTCTTTCTAGATCTACCTTCCTCAAAAAGGAGGTATTTGTAGTGTGAGGGCCTCCAGAAAAAACAAAGCAAGATAATCCATTGTGAGATTTGCTTTGGTCTGCTGGGGGGGCCCAGCTTGTTTTTCTGACTTTACCCAGGTGCTGCTTTTCTTCCTCCAGCCCTAATTAAGTGATTTGCAACCTGGGCAATTTAACAAGCAAGCCCAAAACAATGTAGTAAAAACAGGAAGGATTCTATCCTGAAGATAAGATTGTATTTTAAAACCCAATTAGTTAAAAAGTGAGTTTCTTAACATACTCTTTATGAAACAGACAATAACTGCCCACCTTGGGAACAAAACAGGCAGTCTTGAGTGATATGCTCCCAGACCAGGAAGCTGCTATCCTGGGAGGGAATCAGAGCAGTAAATTTCTTGTAAATAACCCAGAAGAACTAATAAGAAATTTAGTGTCTCTTCAAAGATAAACATTTTGGGACCACTTAGCAGGTGTACATCCCTAGCCCTTTGTCTTTCAACTGCCTATAAATCCCCTAGACAACACATCACCCCAGGGCTCTCTTGTCCCTTCCTGGCAGAAGCCAGGAGCTCTGTCCTCCCACTTTATCTCTAAATAAAAGATCTGGAGAAGGTTCCAAGAGCCTCTCACTTGCTCTCCTGACTTAAAAAGGAGGCTTTTGTCCAAATAGTGGGGTTTTTCTTCAGTGCACTCACCCCACTGTTTTCATCTCCAAGCAGTGTGTCTGACCCATTAAACCTTATTTGAGTCATCGTAAATGTCCCAGGGTCACATTGACACTGAGCAATCTCTGGGGCCTTTGAAATAAGCAGAGATGAACAGCCGTGGCTTTCCTCACAACCTTTCATGTCCATTGGCACCACCCTGCCAAGAGGGCTCCTCAGCCTGTCACCCTCCACACACCAGCCTGCCGCCCAGTCCTCCCAAAATTTACTTGCAGAATCTGGATCCATCCCTCCAGGCAAACTGACAACCTCCCAGGACATGAACTGGTGTGTTGGGAAGTTGAGTCCCGTCTCCCGGGTAGGTGAGGGGCTCTCTTTCTCACCTTGCTCTACATAGATTCATCAGAATCGCTGTCCTTAAACATCAGGAGAGAAAGGACTCCAGTCACTGGCAAAAACTAAAGAAGAAATCCCTAGAATTGCCTTCCTGGGGTTTTTCTGGGTTTACTTCTTAGAACCGTGAACTATTATGTCACCAATCATTTCCCAAAACTGTTCTGATTCACAGTCATGCTGGTATGATTTCCAGACGGGGTAAAACTTCGTACTATTCCTTGATGGATTCAGATGCGTTTGAGAGCAAAGAGTGTTTTATCAGGTGTTTATCATTGGTTCTATCAGAGAAAACAGTGGTTGGAGATGGGAAAGCAGCCATGGGACCTTGTTCCTCCTTGGAGCTGGTGGGTGTCATCTTGAGAACAGACTTCAGGCAGAAGAAACACCAGCAATGTCTTGTGACAAAACCTTGCATCTTCCTGAAATAGTCTGGCCTTTCTATTTCATATTTCTTGGGAACCAAAAGCCTAGTCTGGCTCTCGTACAGGCCATAGTCATCTCAACTGTGTGGAAGGCATGTCTGGGTTTGTGTCTGGCTCTGGTACTTGGGGGCCACCTAGGGACACTGAGCAAGTCCCTCATGTCCCTGGTGCATCCTGGGGAGGGCAGAGCTAGGACCACATTGGGGAACATGTGGATTTGAGTTCTGTTTGGAAGGAGAGGAGCTCAACTCAAGTGTCAGATTGAGAAGCCACAGTGCTGTTGGGGTGGAGCATGAGGTTCCTGGAGGCTCAGCCCTTTCTAGACGAGTGACCCCAATGAGCTACTCACCCTTTCCAAGTCCCTGTATCTTTTCTAGGAAAAGGGGACTAGCAACAGGTGCTTCAAAGGGCCACTGTAAGGATTCAGTCAGGCTGAGGATAAAACACTTGCAGGTTCCCTCCTGGCTGGTGCTCACACAGACTGCTGAGCCACAGACCATGCCTGGGCAAAGGCAGGAGCCTGCAAGAGTACAGGGCTCCACTGGGGAAAAGCGCTGGCTGGCATACAGCACTGGGGGAGGGTTGCCATGGCATGTGCTTGTCAGGGAGGGGCTGCAGATGGCCCTGTTAGGCTGCAGGAAGTTATGGATATTTATGATGAGAGCCGTGCTCTATGACAGTGCTTCCCAAGTTGTACTGCACCAGTAGAGGGCCAGGTGTTTCCTCAAAAGGCAGATCCTGATCCAGATGTTGGCTGAGGGCCTGAGACTATATGCTGACACATCTGTTCCACAAGACACTTTGAGGTGCAAGGTTCCCAAAAGTTAGTTCCTTGGGCCAGCAGTGTGGGGAGTGTACCAAAAGGGCTGAGATTGGAAGGGAAAATTGGGAAGTGGATATGGTGTAAACGGACAGTCTCTAGTCCAGCATGACTGGGAGGATGGAGCAGGTGAACAGATTTGAGGATTTTGAGCTGGAGAATAAATGCACACGTGGTGATTTGCTCGAGAGAAAGTATTTGGGGGAACCGGTTGTCCCATGCTGTGGAGAATCCCCAAGGCCCTGTGCCTCGGTGTGGGGTGTGGCCCTAGGCTGTGAAGGCACCTGTTTATGGCCCTTCTTGGGGACAGACTGCTCCAGCACCCCAAGTGCACTCTGTCATGGGCTCAGCTCACATGCGCCACTCTGAGAGTCAGCCAGCCAGGTGTTGCCAGACCCAGATTCACAGCTTTCCCCATCATGTGGTGCCCACTGGCCCTGCCCTGACCTGTGCCCCTTCCTGCACAGACGTCTGTGTTTACTCCTGCCTATGGGTCCGTGACGAACGTGAGGGTCAACACCACCATGACAGCCAGGCATGTGCTCATCCTGCTGCTGAACAAGTTCCGGGTGAGCCACCGCCCTGGATGCTGGGAACTGCTCTTTGCTGAGGACACACCTAGCAAGGGCTGTGCAAGCTTCCCTGGGTCTCCTGAGTAGAATGTCTGACACAGTTCCCTCCTCTGGGCTGATGTCTGGGATTTTCAGCAGAGAGATAGGGGTCCCCTGCGTGTGGTATGGGGCGTGGTTACTGCTGGGGCCCCTTTCTGTCTTGCCCAAGAAATCCCTGCTCTGACCCATTACTGCTTGTGCAGGTGGAGAATGGCCCCAGTGAGTTTGCACTCTATGTCGTCCATGAATCTGGGGGTAAGTGTCTGCCTTTGCTTCCAGATCTGGAAACCCAAAGTATCTTTCTGTTTGGCAAGCTCACCCGCCATGCTCGTCCTCTGAGGCTGTGCCCTTGTATGGCAGGCACAGGGCACCTTGCCCCCCTGGCTTTAGGACCCACCATGCCCCTACCATGAGTGCCTCTCCCAGTCCCAAACCCAGTCACACTTGTCCATTTCAGAACTAATAGGAGGCCATCATGTCTTCTCTTGCTTGGTTAGAGGAGCTTTGGTTGCATGTCTGGGTCTGTGAGCTGGAGCTGAAGGCCCCACCCACTGAGGGTAGCTGCAGATCCAACGTGGTCAGCCTGTGACTGAGCAGCCCTGGCCTCCTTGCTCCGCTGTCCCCTCTCTCCTGCTCCCTCGACTCCTGTTACCCCTGAACTGGGCCTCTGCTGAATGACGCAATTCCACTTAACTCAGGGGCAGCATTCTCAGGTTGGGAGAAGGTTCCAATCCCCATGGACATCTGTTTCTATCACAACCCCATCTTGGAAGAGAGAAGCAATCTTAATGCCCCGTGAATTTTGTAAACCACCTTCCTTTTCAGAACGGACGAAACTGAAAGACAGTGAGTACCCGCTGATTTCCAGAATCCTGCATGGGCCATGTGAGAAGATCGCCAGGATATTCCTGATGGAAGCTGACTTGGGCGAGGAGGTCCCCCACGACGTGAGTGGGAGCTGAGGCTTGGAGGCCTGTTCCTGTGTGCAGGGCTAGGGGCATCCTGAGGGACCTCCTTGGCCAGAGTGTAAGGGACGATGTTTCCAGGCCACATTGTTGTCCTAAAGCCCCAGCCCAGCACTGTGATGGCTCCAACCTTGTTCCTGTCAGGGACCACTAGCTTCTGCAGTGGCTCAGGGGAGAGAGAATTTGGGCCTTAGAGAACCGGACCTGTGCTTCCACGGAAGCAGACAGGACCTTCTGGTATGTTTTTCATCATCACTGCATACACAGGGGTCCTCACTGGGGCCACCACCCAAGTCCTGACTGGGAGACCAGCACATTTCCAAACTCCCCTGCACAGAAAAGGCAAGTCATGTGACCCTTGTCCTGGGCCATTCATGGGCTGATGCCAGTTCATTCCGGTGAGAAACAGGAGCCTTCCCATTACCCGCACCCACTGTGGCACCTCTCACTGTTGAGTGCTTCCCAGTGCTCACTTAGCTGCCCCTCCCAGGGATGCTAGATGCGCCCCCTCCTCCCACCCTGGCACACACACACTGTGCTGCGGCATGTGGGGGGGCACCACTTCCATGGGTACCAGATGCTGCCTCTATCGGCCCCTAAGGAAACAGTCAGGAAAAGAACACACGTTTTCGTTTTCTAATTTAGAGCACATTCAAATGTTCTTGGATTTTCTAGGTCGCTCAGTACATTAAGTTTGAAATGCCGGTGCTGGACAGTTTTGTTGAAAAATTAAAAGAAGAGGAGGAAAGAGAAATAATCAAACTGACTACGAAGTAAGCAGCACTCAAAGAGCCAGTCTTGGGTCCTGGACCTTGGGGCAAGTCTGCTGGGCAGAGCCCCTGGGGCCAGACAGGGGGCACTCAGTCTCCCCTAGTGCACAGCCCAGGGCCTTGCAAACCCCGGACGCCCAGCACCACCCTCTGGCCCAGACTCGGTGTTAATACCAACTGAGTGACAGCCCACCGAAATGGTGGGATGCAGCCCAGACCACCACAGTGGCCTCCATGCCTCACTGCAGGGGCACACGCTGCTGGAAACTGGGCAGGAGTCAGGCAGGGGCAGGGGCACTGGGCCAAGGCTGTCGTTCTGGTGACACAGCCCTGGAAGAGCAATGAGGACAGGGCCTGCTTGGTGCCCAGAGTGTTCTGAGCCTGCCAAAAAGCAGTGGCTGTTGGAATCCCCGTGCCAACTGCTCTTCAGGTGTGGAGACCGGTTTGGAGACTGGTTCAACAGATAGGTGAGCAGCTGTCACCTGCCAGCTCCTGGGAAGGCGACGTGAAGGCTCAGCTGTACCTCCCGAGGATGTGTTTGAGGCGTGTGGGTACACAGCTCTCACCAGTGCCTGAGTGGGAGCTCTCAGAGGAGTGGAAGTGGGCAGGCTGCTCACCACAGAGGCCTGCAGTCCAGGACCAGATTTGATTCTGGCTTCTGACCGAAGGATTCTTGGAAACTACCCCCCACTTCCTGTTTTTCAGCTGGGGCCCCTCAGACAGCCATAGAGCCCCATCAGGGAGAACAGACGACACACAGATGACAGGTCACCGAAGGGTTTTGGAGTTGAGGGGGCCTGGGGGTCACTTGGTTCATTTGTTCAGTGTGTGGACAGCCCATGGGGGCCTATGACAGGAAGGTGGCAGCACAGGCTGTTGTGGCCCAGGATGGCAGGCAGGCTTCCCATTCCCTCCAGCCTGCTCCTCTCCACACTAGAGAACCTCAGAAAGAAGCTGCAGCACTTGGCTTTCAGGCAGGACCTGGTCTGCCGACCTGTGGGACTGCTCCCTGAACCAGTGCTCTTCCCAGGCCTGCCTGGCCTTTCCCTCCCCTAGCGGAGGAGAGACAGTCCTCGAATCAGCCGGTCAAGGGCCCTGGGTCTCCTGGCCCACGTGTCTGTGCTGTCCCTTCCTCTGTCCCGCGTGCCTCCAGCCTGAGTGGGCCCTCTTGGCTGCCTCTCCCCCAGGTTCCAGGCCCTGCGCATGATGATGCTGCAGCGTCTGCAGCAGCTGGTGGAGACCCAGTAGCTCACGGTCACACGGAGGACCAGTGGGCAGAAGCTGACCAAGGGCCACCAGCTGGAAGTCCCACATCGAGCCGCTGCCTGTCCACCTGCCTAAGAACCCTGAGTCCCGTGGCCCTGGCTCTTGGCCCCAGAGCATTTACAGGACCCAGAGCCAGGCCAAGGGGCCAGGAACTCACTGGATGGGGGCTCTGTGTGGGGCTGGCCTGCACAGTGAGCAGCCCCAAAGTGGAGGCACTGGCCATACTGTGTGACTGGATGGTGTGGCTGTTCCCATTCAGCCACACCTGTCCTGCTCAGGAGAGCAGTGCCTGACTGCAGCCCAGGGCCTGGGCTTTCCCAGCACCCAGCCCAGGGCCTCCCTGGGGCCATTGCCCATTCTCAACATCTATGTGAACCACATGGTCTGGGCCCTCACGTCATGCTGCCACTCAGGAGCTCTGCAAGGAGGAGCAGGAGCTGCCAGCAGATATGGGACTCACCCTGCTCCCAGCCATCACTTTCCCATGGCTCGCCTGGCATGCAGGCCTCCAGTGTCACCAGGTGAACCCGCATAGCCCAGTCCTGGGTGCCAGATGTTGGACCAGCCAGCAGTGTGGGGAATGGACCAAAAGGGCTGAGACTGGAAGGGAAAGTTGGGAAGCAGATATGGTGTAAATGGGGGGTCTTCACTCTGGCACATCTCAGAGGATGGAGCAGGTGAACACATTTGAGGACTTTGAGCTGGAGAATAAATGCACATGTGGTGATTTGCTCAACAGAGAGTATTTGGGCCCTGTGCCTCAGTGTGGGTGGGGTGTGGCCCTAGGCTGTGAAGGCACCTGTTTATGGCCCTCCTTGGGGACAGGCTGCTCCAGCACCCCAAGTGCACTCTGTCGTGGGCTCAGCTCACATGCGCCACTCTGAGAGTCATCCAGCCAGGTGTTGCCAGACCCAGATTCACAGATTTCCCCATCATGTGGTGCCCACTGGCCCTGCCCTGACCTGTGCCCCTTCCTATACAGACGTCTGTGTTAACTCGCCTATGGGTCCGTGACCAACATGAGGGTCAACAGCACCATGACAGCCAGGCACGTGCTCATCCTGCTGCTGAACAAGTTCTGGGTGAGCCGCTGCCCTGGATGCTGGGAACTGCTCTTTGCTGAGGACACAGCTCACAAGGGCTGTGCAATCTTCCCCGGGTCTCCTGAGTAGAAGGTCTGACACAGTTCCCTCCTCTGGGCTGATGTCTGGGATTTTCAGCAGAGAGATAGGGGTCCCCCACGTGTGGTATGGGGCGTGGTTACTGCCGGGGCCCCTTTCTGTCTTGCCAGAGAAACCCCTACTCTGACCCATTACTGCTTGTGCAGGTGGAGAATGGCCCCAGTGAGTTTGCACTCTATATCGTCCATGAATCTGGGGGTAAGTGTCTGCCTTTGCTTCCAGATCCAGAAACCCAAAGTATCTTTCTGTTTGGCAAGCTCACCCACCATGCTTCTCCTCTGAGGCTGTGCCATTGTGTAGCAGGCACAGGGCACCTTGCCCCCCTGGCTTTAGGACCCACCATGCCCCTACCACGAGTGCCTCTCCCAGTCCCAAACCCAGGCACACCTGTCCCTTTCAGAACTAATTGGAGGCCATCATGTCTTCCCTCACTTGGTTGGGAAGAGCTTTGGGTGCATGTCTGGGTCTGTGAGCTGGAGCTGAAGGCCCCACCCACTGAGGATAGCTGCAGAGCCCTGGCCTCCTTGGTCCGCTGTCCCCTCTCTCCTGCTCCCTTGGCTCATGTTACCCCTGAACTGGGCCTCTGCTGAATGACACAATTCCAATTAACTCAGGGGCAGCATTCTAAGGTTCGGAGAAGGTTCCAAGCCCCATGGACATCTGTTTCTATCACAACCCCATCTTGGAAGAGAGAAGCAATCTTAATGCCCCATGAATTTTGTAAACCACCTTCCTCTTCAGAACAGACAAAACTAAAAGACGGTGAGTACCCGCTGATTTCCAGAATCCTGCACGGGCCATGTGAGAAGATTGCCAGGATACTCCTGATGGAAGCTGACTTGGGCGAGGAGGTCCCCCACGATGTGAGTGGGAGCTGAGGCTCGGGGGCCTGTTCCTTTGTGCAGGGCTAGGGGCATTCTGAGGGACCTCCTTGGCCAGAGTGTCAGGGAAGATGTTTCCAGGCCACATTGCTGTCCTAAAGCCCCAGCCCAGCACTGTGATGGCTCCAGCCTTGTTCCTATCAGGGACCACCAGCTTCTGCAGCGGCTCAGGGGAGAGAGAATTTGGGCCTTAGAGAACCGGGCCTGTGCTTCCACGGAAGCAGACAGGACCTTCTGGTATGTTTTTCATCATCACTGCATACACAGTGGTTCCTCACTGGGGCCACCACCCAAGTCCTGACTAGGAGACCAGCACATTTCCAAACTCCCCTGCACAGAAAAGGCAAGTCATGTGACCCTTGTCCTGGGCCATTCATGGGCTGATGCCAGTTCATTCCGGTGAGAAACAGCAGCCTTCCCAGTACCGCACCCAGTGTGGTGCCTCTCACTGTTGAGTGCTTCCCAGTGCTCACTTAGCTGCCCCTCCCAGGGATGCTAGATGGGCTCCCTCCTCCCACCCTGGCACACACACACCTGTGCTGTGGCACGTGGGGGGGCACCACTTCCATGGGTATCAGACACTGCCTCTATCGGCCCCTATGGAAACTGTCAGGAAAAGAACACACATTTTTGTTTTCTAATTTAGAGCACATTCCAATGTTAGATTTTCTAGGTCGCTCAGTACATTAAGTTTGAAATGCCAGTGCTGGATAGTTTTGTTGAGAAATTAAAACAACAGGAGGAAAGAGAAGTAATCAAACTGACCACGAAGTAAGCAGCACTCAAAGACCCAGTCTTGGGTCCTGGACCTCGGGGCAAGTCTGCTGGGCAGAGCCCCTGGGGCCAGACAGGGGGCACTCAGGCTCCCCTAGTGCACAGCCCAGGGCCTTGCAAACCCCGGCCCCCCAGCACTGCCCTCTGGCCCAGGCTTGGTGTTAATACCAACTGAGTGACAGCCCACCGAAATGGTGGGATGCAGCCCAGACCACCACAGTGGCGGCCTCCATGCCTCACTGCAGGGGCACACGCTGCTGGAAACTGGACAGGAGTCAGGCAGGGGCAGGGGCACTGGGCCAAGGTTGTCATTCTGGTGACACAGCCCTGGAAGAGCAATGAGGACAGGGCCTGCTTGGTGCCGAGTGTTCTGAGCCTGCCAAAAAGCAGTGGCTGTTGGAATCCCCGTGCCAGCTACCTTTCAGGTGTGGAGACCGGTTTGGAAACCAGTTCAACAGACAGGTGAGCAGCTGTAACCTGCCAGCTCCTGGGAAGGTGATGTGAAGGCTCAGCTGTACCTCCCGAGGATGTGTTTGAGGCGTGTGGGTACACAGCTCTCACCAGTGCCTGAGTGGGAGCCCTCAGAGGAGTGGGAATGGGCAGGCTGCTCAACACAGGGGCCTGCAGTCCAGGACCAGTTTTGATTCTGGCTTCTGACTGAAGGATTCTTGGAAACTACCCCCCACTTCCTGTTTTGCAGCCGGGGCCCCTCAGGCAGCCATCCAGCCCCATCAGGGAGAACAGACGACACACAGATGGCAGGTCACCGAAGGGTTTTGGAGTTGAGGGTGCCTGGGGGTCACTTGGTTCATTTGTTCAGTGTGTGGACAGCCCATGGGGCCCAAGACAGGAAGGTGGCAGCACAGGCTGTTATGGCCCAGGATGGCAGGCAGGCTTCCCATTCCCTCCAGCCTGCTCCTCCCCACACTAGAGAACCGCAGAAAGAAGCTGCAGCACTTGGCTTTCAGGCAGGACCTGGTCTGCCGACCTGTGGGACTGCTCCCTGAACCAGTGCTCTTCCCAGGCCCGCCTGGCCTTTCCCTCCCCTGGTGGAGGAGAGACAGTCCTCGAATCAGCCGGTCAAGGGCCCTGGGTCTCCTGGCCCACGTGTCTGTGCTGTCCCTCCCTCTGTCCCACGTGCCTCCAGCCTGAGTGGGCCCTCTTGTCTGCATCTCCCCCAGGTTCCAGGCCCTGCGTGTGATGATGTTGCAGCGTCTGCAGGAGATGGTGGAGACTCAGTAGCCCACAGCCAGTCACCCAGAGGGCCAGTGGGCAGACGCTGACTGAGGGCTGCCGGCTGGGAGTCCCACATCAAGCCGCTGCCTGTCCACCTGCCTAAGGACCCTGAGTCCCGTGGCCCTGGCTCTTGGCTCCCAGAGCACTCACAGGACCCAGAGCCCGGCCAAGGGGCGAGGAACTCACTGGACGGGGTCTCTGTATGGGGCTGGCCTGTACAGTGAGCAGCCCCAAAGTGGAGGCACTGGCCATACTGTGTGGCTGGATGGTGTGGCCGTTCCCATTCCGCCACACCTGTCCTGCTCAGGAGAGTGGTGCCTGACTGCAGCCCAGGGCCTGGGCTTTCCCAGCACCCAGCCCTGAGCCTCCTTGGGGCCATTGCCCGTTCTCAACATCTATGTGAACCACATGGTCTGGGCCCTCACCTCATGCTGCTACTCAGGAGCTCTGCAAGGAGGAGCAGGAGCTGCCAGCAGATATGGGACCCACCCTGCTCCCAGCCATCACTTTCCCATGGCTCGCCTGGCATGCAGGCCTCCAGTGTCACCATGTGAACCTGCATAGCCCAGTCCTGGGTGCCAGATGTCGGACCAGGAACAAGTCATGAGTGTCTCGTTTTCTCCCAGCACCACTCGCTCCTACTTGAGCTTGCTGCCCAAACACTGAGCTCTGGTCATGTGTAGAACATGGCTGTACACCACTGGAAGGGGGCCACCCTGAGCTGAGAGTGCAGGGCTGCTGGCGGCTCAGAGGGTGGCGCACATTCCTCAGGGGCCTGGGTGCCTCCTGCCCTCTGTGAGCTTGCATCTTCCTCCACCTCCCGTCAAAAGAGGTGCAAGGAGGAGACAGTCTGAGGAGGAAGGGGTTTGAATTCGCTGAGGCCAAATACTTAACAATTTGGGTTTGTCAGCTGATGGGGAATTTCTGGAATGAATCAGAAGGCCTTTGGAAAACTGTAGCAGTTTACTTCACTCATGTGAAGTATTTGTCCCAAACAGAGCAAGCTAAAGACCAAAGTCTTCTCCCGCAGGGGCGTGGGCAGCAGATTTCAAGAGAACTATAAAGTCTTCCAAATGTAGGAGAGACTATCTGCTTCATGCCAGGGTTTTCCGACCTAACCCTGCTGTCACAGAGATGCACAGGGTGATGCCTGGGGTGACCCTCCATGGTTTCTACTGTCCCTGCTCCCTTTGGCAGCATGGTTTTCTAGGTGCTCAATAAAGGTGTGTATGTGAACTGAAGGAGTCTGGACCACGTGCTCTTTTTGCCTTTATGTGTCTACCCTGCCCCCTGTTGTAGTCACTGAAGTTCTTCTCCAGTACATGTATGTGGCCAGACTTGGCAGGGAGCCCAAGCCCACCCTGGGACTGGCGTGGTGCACTGACGGGGGTGGCCACAGGGCACAGAGAGTAAACATCGGTGGGGGGCAGCAGGCCGGCAGTGAGCAGTCTGGACTGTGAGCGAGAGGGTCACACAGAGTCACAGAATCTTAGTCTCAGGAGGACCTCAGGGATGGCAGCAGGGCCTAGGAGAGGGTGGAAAGCAAGTCAAACAGGCCTCCCCAGGCCATGTGATCCTCCAGCCCATACTTAAACCAGGTCTAGGACAGCTGCCAGTCCATCATCAACAGTAATTATGCCAGGTCTCTGCTTGGCCCTAAAGGACAAAGAGTCACAGTCCACTCTGTGTTCAGGGGTCCCCTCACAGGGAGAATCAAACCAGACACCCAGGAGTCAGGGAACCAGCAGAGCAGGGAGCTGATGAAGGTTCCTGGAAGGAGGCCTGAGGCTGAGCCCAAGGTGGCAAAGGTGGTGTGTGTGCTGTTCCAGCCCGAGAGGTGGTCCCAGCCCAGGAGGGACTCGCCCCGCATTGGGAAGCCTTCAGTTGAAGCCCTCAGACAGTGCTTGCTGGTTTTGTTTTGCTTTGGAAGTTTGGGGATTTTCTATAGCTGTTACAGTGTTACTTAATTTAATGCCTGTCTAGGTAAGTGTTACTTTTGAAAAACATGCTATCAAACCTAACTTCTGAATTTAATAGCTAAGAAAAATCACTAGCAAATTGCACAGGAGGGGGGAAATGTCGGCTTCCACAGTCATCTGAGGGGTTAACAAATCTTTTGTCAACACTGTATTCACTTATCTGAGGCAATGTGACAAGCTGCTAATTCAGCTCACTGTGACAGCACCATTTCAGACTTTCTTCCCTAGGCTCTGTGGTTTCCTCTTGGTTTATGTGGAATCTCCATTTTCCTGTCCATGAGCTTGCAGTACATCTCATATGCTCCTTCACTAATGAGTATCCCAGGGGAAAAAATGTACCCAAAGATTTAGTGAAGATTCCTGGGAGTGTCCTTTCCTAAAACGGGACTGTCTTCTCAGGCCAGGCCTCAGAAAACAGAGAAAACAGAGAAACACAGGATGAAATCAACATGATTGCAAAAGGGGTGGACTCAGGAAACACAGGGTGGTTTGCCCAGAACATTATCAGAAGGAACAGAAAAAACAGCTTGTTTTTCCCTGACGTGATAACCATATGCTACCTGCTAGGAACGTCTACCAGAAAATGAATTAAAGCCCTTCCAACTATCACAGTCATGTGTTCACCCAGGATACATCAGGCCCTTTGGTCTAAGGGAAACACAGCACCAGGCGCATCAGTCTGGCCAGGCGATTCGTGGAGGAGCTGCAATACACGGCATTCCTGGCAGACAGGTGCCTCGCAGCCGGGGACAAACAGCAGGGGTGTCTTTGTGAGGTGCTGCGTGGGCAGTGGCCCCTGCCTCTCAGCCCCTCAGCCGTGACCAGGCAGGAAGCACAGTCAGAGCCAAACCCATCCAAGTGCAGAAACAGCAAATGCATACATGCTGCCCTTAGGCCCTGCAGGCCACAATTGTCTGGGAAAGCCAGCTGCTGACCTGCCCTGGACTCACAATGTGCAGGGTGGAGCCCTGTTCCCTCCTGGCCAGGCGTTTAATGGAGTTGTTCTTTGCAATCCAAGGGATGGGAATTCCCAGTTTCCTTTCCCAGACAACCCAAAGGAAACAGAATGGCAAAGTCTCAGGCTTGGGGGAGAACCATTGTTCAGGGACCATTTGTGCGAGATGGGCTACTCCTGTAATTGCCCTTGGGTCACAAACGTGAGCAACCTCCTAGCTCTGTTGCCAGATGCAGACCCAAGGCGGCAGTGCTCCCTGTTGAGACAGTGCTGTTCTGTGTGTACATGTGTGTGTATGCACGTGTAAGGGAGAGTGGATGCAGGGGACAAAGCCATAGTAAAGGGAAGCTGGCTTGCTGGGACTTTTCTCATCCCAGAAGCCTCTTCCTTAAGTGAGCCCTTCAAACATGACAAGGCTCGAGGGCACACTTGGCCCTGCTGGGTGCAGTTTCCCAAAGAAGCCCCAGCCATTAAGCTCTTGTTGCCCAGTTTCCCTAGAAAGATGTACTGTTGGGAGGAGGTGTGGCAGAGCCAGTCTTTGCTGCCCTGCCTCCCAGCCCTCCCACACCTGCCCCTTTCTCTTCTGTGTTTTGTAAATATCATATATGGCCATTTCCGATATTTTAGCTTCCTTAAAAACAGTCTGGAATCCATATGAGGCTACTAGTAAAGGCTCTGCCCTGGCTCTGCCACTTAGGTGTGACTGACCTTCAGCAAGTTACTTGCCTGCATGTCCTCAAATGTAAAATGAAGGCAATGGCAATCCTGCCTCTTCAGTCCTGCAAGGCGTACTTGCCAACGTATTTGCAATAGTAACACCAACACTCCCAGGGGCTACAGGCGCATCTGTGTCCCACTGTGACATGCCCTTGCAGGCGGGCTCCTGTGGCTCTGCTGCATGGGTCTTCTCATCCTGGGCCCTAGGCTGATGGAGAGCCCCTCCTTGGGACACATTATTCTCCAGGCAGAAGGAAAGGACAGTGACCCAAAGCTGTTGCTGGTACGTGGTGAGCCCTCCCATGAGGTGGCCAATGTGGCTCACAAGGAGACTCAACGTCCAGAAGGGGTGCTGTTCACTAGGAGGCACTCAAAATCACCGAGTCATAAGCAGGGATGTGAAAGCCTAGAGGGGCCAACGCTCAGGAACAGTCATACCTCAGGGATATGGAACGACTGAACGATGCACCACAAGTGCTTCAAACAGTGCCTGGCCCCTAACAAGCACTCAGTAAGCGCTGTTACCACAATTAGATAAAACTGTAACTCCTTCTCTACTTCGTGTTCCCCCTCCTCCCCATCTCATACCCTTTTCTCTCTCTTGTTTTTCTCCATGCTTACCTCCTACTCTGTCCTCTCGTGAACAACCACACCCCTTTATTACTTCACTTTCATCTCTTTCTTTTTAAAAATTCACCTTTCTTTACCCAATTCTCTACCTCTATATATCTCTGGGCTTTCTGTAGCTAGACCAGAGGTTTTCAGGTACAAGAAAAAGGGATAATAGACCTTTATGTGGGACATGGAAATAGTTTTCATTAATGACTGTCTTACTAATAAAATGCTTTGAGTACATTTTTTCTTAGTATTTAAATGTACATAAAACAAGGTCACTTTCACTTTTGAAACTTTGCTTTAACTCTGACCATTGCCCCCTACCCCACCCCCTTCAACCACCAACATCAACCACTTGTACCACTAACTTAACAAAAGTAATAACAATGGTTCATATTTCTTACGTGTTATGCATTGTGCTAAGTGCCTTACATTATCTCATTTAATCTTCATAATAGTCTATGTTCTGGGTGACTGGGTTGACCTTCTTTGTCTAGGCCTAATCAGGCTCAGGCTTTTCCATCTGTCAGCAGAAAGCCCCAGGTGAGGTCTGGCCCTGGTCTTAGTGTGGCCTCTGCCCTCAGCTCTCTTTGTGCCTCCAGGCGGATTTCCCTCTCCCAGCCTCCATTCACTGATGCTCAAGACAGTAAAGATGAATGACCAGAGAGTAGATGTAAAACACTTTGTAGATGAAAAGCACTTTGTAAATAATAAGGCATTGTTAAATTCACTCACTCAGTCATTCAGAATCGATTGCTGTGTGCCAGCTTCCTACTGAGCACTGTTCTTACCATTGCAGACACTGCAGAGGGCAAGGGACACGTCCCAACAGCTCTGTGTGCCATTGTTTCAGGGGCCTGGCAGGCCTGCAGAGGATTTTGGACAGAATGAAAGACCTGATCTATGTGGATTTGAAGGTGAGTGAGTGGACCCTGGGGAGACCACTGACAGAGCCAATGCCATAGTCCAGATGAGATGGCGGCGACTTCATGGGGGTTACAGCTGTCGCGGTGTTGGAGGTGGCTCTATTCTAGATACACACTGAAGGTAAAGATGGATTGGATTTTGGTTTTAGGTTAAAAAAAAGAGAACGATGTGTGGATAAAATTGTAATATCCCAGAATATCTCGCCTGACTTTAGTGCATCTCCATTTGAACAGGCGTTTCTAAGGGGTGGAGAGAAGTAGTTCATCTGCATTTCAATGCGTAATTACCTGGGCAGCTGAAGGCTTATCTGAACCTGAGAGGATTGGGGGAGGTCTCCTTCCCTTCTGCTAGAGCAGGAAAGAGATGGCCCCGGACCGCAGTTTGTAAGCAATAAGGGGTTTCAAACTTTATTTCTCCCTTTGACTGATTTCGGTTTTAGATGTATTTTGCCCTGAGACTTCTCCCTGGAGTTACAGATGACATCAAGAATCTTAGCCTGGACACTGGAAAGACAGAGTTGCTACCAATTGCTGGGATGGATACTATGGAAGGAACAGGTGAGGTGAACGCCTGAAGTTCATCTGACAGGCTAGGATCAGAACGCCCAGCTACAAGCAAGGGGGCGGAATGAAACTGGATATACAGGTGTGGAGCCCAGTGATGTTTGCATCCCAGGGCCCACACATCTGGCATTTGAAGCCACCAGACTGGAGCAGCTCCAGGGGGGAATGACGCACATGGGGAACAGAAGCTAGGCAGCCTAGTAGGGCCAGGCTGAGGGACCGGGTGAGGGGTAGGGGCTGTCAGAGAGAAGATCTGTGGGTAAAACGGCAGTATTTCCAGAATCTTTCGCCTGGCTTTGGGGTATCTTCATATTAACAGGTATTCCCAAGGGGTCAAGGGTAGTCCATCTCCTTATCAGTAGGTAATTAAAAGGGCAGCGAGGGCATATCTGGACCGGACAGGTTGGGTGGGGTCCCTTCTTCTGCAGCCGGGTCCGAGAGGCCCGGGAGAGCAGAAGTGGACGACTTATTGTAAACAATAAACG